GCCCCGTCAACCGTCGCGTCGCCCTCGGGAGGCGCCGCGACGGGCGACGGGGACCCGTTCGTCGCCCCCCGTCGCCCGTCGTGGCCTGCGCGCGGCCCGTACAGGCAGCGCGCGACCCGTACGGGCTGCGCCAGGCCCGCGCGCCACCCGTACGGGCTGCGCCAGGCCCGCGCGCGGCCCGTACGGGCTGCGCCAGGCCCGCGCGCGGCCCGTACGGGCGGCGCCAGGCCCGCGCGCGGCTCGGGCCGCCTGCGCGCGGCTCGGGCGTCTCTACCAGGCCCGTGGTGGGCTCGTTCCTCGCTGCCCCTGCCCTCCTCGCTGTCCCCCAGTGCTTCTACTGGCGCCCCACCCCTCCTACTCCCCATTCTCCTGAATTAGGGTTTGGGGGTGAGGGGTATGGGGGTGACTTCACTCTGTACCGTTCCCTGCTCTTCCTCCTCCTCCGTCTCCTTGTGCTGCAGCTGCCGCTGAGGGGGGGTGGACGTGTTGGAGCCGGTGGAGTGGTACTAAGGGGGGGTGAAAGGGGAGTGGAGCTAGCGGTGTAGCAGCGGGTGTGTGTCGGGGGGGTGAGACTGTTTGGGGAAGTTGCACGGAGGTTGCCGTCGTGTCGCCAGCAGCACCTGTAGTCCGGGGACTTCGTCCGGTAGCCCAGTCGTAGACTTCTACGCCAGCCGCCCGTGGGTCCGTTGCTCGTCTGCCGCTACTTTAGCCGCGGGGCCTGTTACTCCTGTAGTCCGGGCGCTTAGTCCGGTAGCCGCTGTGCCAGTCTGCCTCCTGTTGCCCGTGTGTCTGCAGCTTCAGCCGTCGCCTCCTATCTCCTCTCACCTCACTCTCTCTCCTCCTCCTCGCTTGCCCGTTGTGACTACCACTAGCTTTGCTCATAATTGTACCCTTTAAACTATTCCTTCTTGAACTTGTGCTTAGAATGTGTGGTGACATTGTGATCCACCCTGAGCTTGTACTGCTTTTCTTGCTCTGCTGATTACACCCCACTTTGGCTATGGGGGTGTGTCAGAATGTTATCTTATGCTCTAGCCTGTAGTGGGGTGCTCTATAGCGAGTACAACCCTTCTAGGGTTTCCTATTTGTATCCCCATTCTTGCTAGTGCAATCCTCTTCTTCCCTCTTCTTTCTTCTAAACTTTTCACAGAACTGTCGCTGTACTGTTGGCTGTGCCCCCGGTTCTAACTCTATCATGTGGTCATGCGGTCGCTGAGGTGGCAGTCCCGTCGGTAAATCGTCCGGGAAAATGTCGCTGTACTGCTTCAACAGTGCTGCCAGATGACTCGGTACGTCGGCCAGCAGTTTCTGTAAATCCCCTCCTTTGTCTGCTGCCTCGGCTTCCCGGATGTCGACCGCGTACACGTCAACTCCTGCCGCTACGGCGCGTTTCATCGTGATCCCGTTGACACGCACCGACGAAGACTCAGGTGAGCCCCAGCGAGGTAAGGCGATGTTGTTACCGTTCACTCGCACGGTGCAGTCACCCGTCGTCCAGTCGATTCGCGGATTGTGTCATCACAGCCAATCACGCCCGAGTAAAATATCGGTTCCGTCGAGGGTCGTTGCGAGCATTTCCTGGCTAAACGTGAAGTTACCCCCACATCGAATCCGAACCCGGTCTACGCGTTCCCGTATCGCCAGCGGCGTGCCGTCTACCAGTCTTGCGTCGATCTCAGGTAAACATCTGTCCAGTGGCAGTCGCAGTTTTCGTGTTGTGGCAGTGTTGATGAGGCTGTGGCTGGCTCCCCCGTCTACGAAGAATTTAACTAAGTCCGTCCCGATTTTCCCACTAAGCAGTATGGGGCTGTCTACCGTAGTACCCTCCTTATTCGGCCGGGTGTGGTCGATTGCGTGAACCGGCACAATCACTCGGTGAGGGTCGGTTGGGTCGAGCGAGCGGCGTGACCTGTCAGTAGAAGGCCCGTCTGCTACTGACTCCCATCGTTTCCCTGCTGCTTGGTCTGTTTCTGCTGCTCAGCTTCCTCCTTTCCCTTAGCATTTTCCGGGCATTCGCTCTTGCGATGTCCCGACCGATTGCACGCAAAGCAGCGCCCTTTGAACGGTGCGGCAGCGGCGTTTGCGGCGACGGCACGTATCGTGGCGCCCTCGTTCGTCCCACGAGGCCAATGTCCCCAATGGCTGCTTCCGTAGGACCCCGGTCTCGGTCGGCGGAAGAAATCAAGTTTCTCCGCCATAGCGAGAATTTCTTGAAAGTCGGTGACGCCGCGAAGCTGGATTTCCTGAGCGATGTCCTGCTTCAGGCCGCCGATGTAGCGGTCGATGCGCTCGCTCTCGTGCATATATCCCACCTGCTCGCATAGCGCCAGAAATCCGCTCGTGTAGTCTTGGACGGAACCGAGTTGGGCCCAAGTGCGGAGCTTCTGTCGCGCCGCGATCGAAGCCGCGATTGGCTCGAAACGAGCGCGCAGACCTGCGCACCACGCGTCCCACGTGCGATACTGGGGCACCTCCACGAAATACGACGGCGCCCAGGGTCCGGTTTGTCCTTCCCTTGTCGGTAGAGTCGCGTAGTCTGCCGGCTTCGTGACGATGACGCGCCACCAGTCCATGGCGGGTCCTCGCAGCAACGACACGGCGTAACGAATCTTCGCCGTATCCTCCGAGACGTAGTTCGCGTCGAAGAAAACGTTCAACGTGAAGAGCCACGCCTGAACGGTAGGACCACCCCGCTGACTTGGGTCAAAGCATGGCGGACGCTGCGGCTTTAGCGGCATCGGTGACGGAAGAGTTGATCCGCCGGCCGGCACTGAAATCGTGACTTGAGGCTGAGTCCTGGCCGCATTCGTCGCGTCGGGGTGTGTCGTGCCGTGGTCGTCGTCTCCGTCATGGCGGACGACGCCATCACTTGCGGCGCTCGCGGGTTGCCCCACACTTCCGTGCTGTGATGTTTGTGGTGCGGGCTGAATCGGAGTGCCAGGTGCTTGGGATTGTGCTCGTGTGAGGTCGTTTTGCACGGACGAGCGTTCTGCCGTCAGCGTCGCGATTTCCTCGGCGCTCTCGCGGATTTGTCGCAGCAGATCGTTCAAGTGCTCCTACGTGAGATTCGTGACGTCGATGTGTTCAGCCATGTCGAAGGGCGTCGGCTCGTCTTAGTCTAGGCGCAGTCGTGGCTGCACGCGTTTACGAGAGAACGCGAGGACAGCGGCTCCTAGGTGCTAAGGTACGTGAGTCCCTTCGAGTGAAAAATCAAAAGTTGATTTCCTGGGGTGCGGAGATGCGCGGTCCGAAAGAAAGGGGCTCTGAATACCAAGTGTTACGGGTGCAATGAATCGAAGTAGCGAGAATTGCACTAAGGTGTCAAACGAGTACAAAGATGTGAGCGAAGGCATGAGCGAACATTTATACGCGAAACATGCAAACGGTAACGCGGTGCGTGCGAGCTAGCTAGTGCTATGTTGGCAGCGAGGCTCGGGCTAGTCCCGAAGCGTAGGCCGACACGGCCGGGCCAGCAGTGCGAGGTTTGGCAAAACAGTGCGCGCGAAGTTGGCGAAGTTCCGTTAGCAGTAACGGGCGAACAACGGCTGTTGCTGTACGCGATGTAGTCGGGCTCCGTAAGGAATGCCGAGAAAATTCCTTACAAACAGCCAAAATTTACAGTTTTGGCAATTTAACAACTTTGGTGGCCGGATTGCAGGCTGGTTCGGAAAAGTTGTTAAAATTGCAGTTACTACAGTAGTTTAGTATGTGCGACGGGGTCGCACTTTTGACGGCGATATTTCTCATTTGACGCGATCACAAATTCTGTCGTTGGGCGATAACGTGCGTCGTCGCAGGCGTTTGTCGCACACTGTGTCGACTACTTGGCCGTTTTGGAGTCGACTCGGCGTCGTTTTCGTGTCGACTTTTTAAACGGCCATCAAATTCGTAATTTTTTTACGAAATTTGCGACGGTCGCCACTTGACTTACGATTGTCGCAAACTGGTTACCTTCGCAGATAAGGCCCGACGGATTGTGGCCGAATTTTTGGAGTTTGCGCTTTAACACGCCCTTAGGAATTCGGTTTCCTACGGCCAGTTACAAAGACTTCTCCATGGTTGCTTGTAAGGGAACAAGTTTATGTGGTGATGTACTTTCTTTAGTTTCCTCAGTAAGAATGCTAAAAAACAACTTTGTCAAGACACTACTGCTGTACCGAGCCTCTCTGGTGGTGTTACTCGTTATAGTTTGTGAAATTGCACTCGTTACTGAACAAGCAATGATGTCCACTGGTCCTGCGTCGTTGGCAACGACAGCCAGTGAAAAGGTTCGTCGTCGATTATCAGCGCGGCGCGATTACGACCGACGCCCCTCTACCGTACCGGCCCTAACATTGATGAAGAATCCCAGGTGTGAACCTTCGCTTCGTGATCGAACCAAGGCACCCATAATCACAGGAGCAACGCTGCCCGCGGATTGGGCTGATTCGGATTCACCCAATAGAGCTTGTTCCCACGTCTTGCCAAACCTGTAACAGCCACAGAATAAGCCTTGTCATCGGAAAATACAGCTCACAACAGCCCAACGACATTTCCAGGTTGATTCCCCCGTGTTGCTGATCGCATCGCACGGTCGCACGCACCCCACCAAACTTCGAAACGCCATGGAGTGGTGTGGTGTGGTGTGGTCCTCTGTTGTGCTCTGCTTGGCATCGCTGTGCGCTTCTCAGCATTCGTGGTGAGTACGGTACTTGTGCTGTTTGCTATGCTCGGCCCTGCATTCTTGCTCTTCTCCCATTTTAGCTGAAAGCACTGCTTTCTGCGTCGGGAGAAGAACCAACGGAGGTCCGTATTTTGTTGTGGTTCTCCTTAGTGTCGTGGCGGTCGGAGGTTTGAGCTGATTTTACTCCGCACAGTAGCATTATCGGCACGATCAAAGCCGTACGTCTGGTTCTGATCCGTCAACGCATCACAAAAGCCCCAACGCGACCCAAATTTGTGTTAGCGAAAGCTTTCCATTACTAACTTGGATTGCGAAGCTTCGATCAGTAGATTCAAGCATGGGTCGCGGAGGTCAGGGAGTCGCTGCTGTGAACCGTCGAGCGGTCAGCGAGGCACCGGCTGCTGATGCGAAGAGCAACAAAAACAAGAACAAGATTGCTCGAGCTCCATCGGTGAGTGTAGTTCTGAAATTTGTTGAGACATCTTAAAATTCAACAAGAATATCGCTCGAGCTCCTTCTGTGAGTCTAGTTCCGGTATCTGTCCCGTTTCGTCAGTCAGATTCCTGGAGAACGTTACAGATAACCATGGAAATAAGTCCCATTCGGTTCGATGCCGTTTGACTTTGTCAGAACAAACCGATTCGTGGACTAATCATTCAGAACAGTCAACTGTTGAAGACTTTAAGGTGTTTGATTGATCCTAATGCCATCTTAACCTCCTGTGAAACCAGGCCCATTCACCACAGCTGATCAGCCGTCGTTCCAGCTCCATTCCCTTCCTCGCCAAAACCCCATATCTATCTCACACTCATTTCCATTTGTCTCCCTTCTCCCCTTCTGCCTCCAGGCAAAGCCCCCCTTCACCCTGGGTGACCTGCGCCGAGCCATCCCCCCCCACTGTTTCCAGCGCTCCCTCCCGCGCTCCTCCGCCTACCTCCTCATCTGTCTCAAACTAAGTTCCAACGGCTTTCTTTCTCCCCTTCTCTCTGGCAGGCAAAGCCCCCCTTCACCCTGGGAGATCTGCGCCGAGCCATCCCCCCCCACTGTTTCCAGCGCTCCCTCCTGCGCTCCTCCGCCTACCTCCTTATCGATCTCGCCTTCGCCGCCTTATTCCTCTACGCCACCACGCGCTTCGACGACATCCACCAACTCGTAGATCCGGCCGTTGAATCGCGCCTCCCGGCGCATCTCCAGCCGTACGTTCGGCCGGCGGTGTCGGTGATCCTGTGGGGGCTGTACACGTGGCTGCAGGGGTGCGTGTGCACGGGCCTGTGGGTGATCGCGCACGAGTGCGGCCATGGCGCGTTTTCGGACTACGCGTTTGTGAATGACACGGTCGGCATGGTGGTGCACTCCTGGCTGCTCGTGCCTTACTTCTCCTGGTGAGCCTTGAAATCCTTCCGGCTGGGATATGAACCTTTCTAAGAGAAAGAAGAGCCTCTGGAAGTGTTCTTTGACAATTTCTTCCGATTGGGATGAGCTCTCTCTTAGTGATTGGCATACGTTAAATGTCAGGTCGAAATCTCTGGTAACTTCAGAGGGACTTGGGCGAGGTGGCATGCCTATCTTGAAGTTTGAACGGACAGAGACCAACGAAACCAACCATGTTAAGAATAGCTCCAAATTATACTTCATCAATGGATCCTTTTGCTTCTGCTTCCTCCCGACACATTTCCCCAAGGCGTTTTTTGAGTCGACTATGTCGTTCACAGAACCCCTGGGCCCTTCTCCAGCCCCACCAACATCTCCCATCCAACCAACTCAAACCCTTTCTCAGCTTCCTCACGCATTAGCTGACCTGATTGTCACCACCCGCTTTCTCCCGTGCTGAGGAGATCCAGTCCCGAGCGCCCACCGTCCTGTCTCCGCCCTCCTTCTTGTTGCGCGGGTAATACAGCCACCACCGCCACCACAGCAACTCAACACTCACCACCCTCTTCTCCTCCCCTCTCCTCCTCTTTCGCCTCCCCCTTCCTCTCCCCCCCTCCCCCCTCACCTCATTTTGGTTGCGCAGGAAATACAGCCATCGCCGTCACCACAGCAACACGGGCAGCCTGGAGAATGACGAGGTACGTGCTTGCATGCATAAGTAGGGTGGTTATAAGGGGGTGGGATTGCATGCGCACAAGTAGAGTGGTTATAAGTGGGTGTAATTACACCTGCAAGGCTGCAAGCTCGTAATGGTTCGAGTTGATGGTTCGAGATAAACTCACAACTCTCATTCTCAAAGCTTGATTGGTGACTTCTGTCGAAACGTCTCAAATGCCCATCTGTTGCACTTGTCGACCCAAAACTGAACCGACGGATTTCTGTTTCCCTCCCCAGCCCAGGCGTTCGTGCCCACACGCAAGGAGCTGCTGGCGGCAGACACGTAGTACCTGCAGCACCCCTTTGGTCTCCAGCACCCCTTTGGTCTCCAGCACCCCTTCCATCCTATTGACTTGTAACGTCATTCTCCTTCACTTGCGTCCCTCCTCCTCCCCACGCCAGGTGTTTGTGCCGGCGCGAAGGGGGCAGTCTCAGAGTACCTGCAGCACCCCTTGCAGGTGTTCGTGCTCTCCATCTTCATCACGCTCACTCCCTCTTGCCCCCATTCCCTCTCCCCACGCCAGGTGTTTGTGCCTGCACGTAGGGAGCAGCTGGGGCCAGTGTCGGAGTACCTGCAGCACCCCTTTGGGCGCGTGCTCTCCATCCTCGTCACGCTCACCCTCGGCTGGCCGCTCTATCTCCCTGCCCTGCCCCTTCCCACTTTCCCCCTCCCTCTTGCCCCTCTCCGCCCACATCCTCCCGCCTCCCTTTTCCTCCTGCCTCCTCCCCACGCCAGGTGTTTGTGCCGGCGCGAAGGGAGCAGCTGGGGCCAGTGTCGGAGTACCTGCAGCACCCCTTTGGGCGCGAGCGTGTGAGCGTGCCTGTTCCAACACTTTTCTGTTATCTAACCTTCACGCCCACGCCAGGTGTTTGTGCCGGCGAGAAGGGAGCAGTTGGGGCCAGTGTCAGAGTACCTGCAGCACCCCTTTGGGCGCGAGTGTGTGAGCGTGCCTGTTCCAACACTTTTCTGTTATCTAACCTTCACGCCCACGCCAGGTGTTTGTGCCGGCGAGAAGGGAGCAGCTGGGGCCAGTGTCAGAGTACCTGCAGCACCCCTTTGGGCGCGAGTGTGTGAGCGTGCCTGTTCCAACACTTTTCTGTTATCTAACCTTCACGCCCACGCCAGGTGTTTGTGCCGGCGAGAAGGGAGCAGCTGGGGCCAGTGTCAGAGTACCTGCAGCACCCTTTTGGGCGCGTGCTCTCCATCTTCATCACGCTCACCCTCGGCTGGCCGCTCTATCTCGCCTTCAACGTGTCGGGCCACGAGTACAAGGGCGTGCATGCCAACCACTTCAGCCCCTACTCGGGGATTTTCTGCGATCGGGAGCGGTTCTGGGTGGTTGTGAGCGATCTGGGGCTGTTGGGAGTGCTCGGGTGCCTGTACTCCCTCGGCTCGGCCTATGGCCTCGCGTGGGTGCTTAAGGTACGTACGGCTTTGGCTCAGCTGTAGAATGGTTCAGCATGGCAATCGCGTATCAGGGAGGGAATCTACAGAGAGTGCTCGGGTGCCTTAATCCCTCGGTTCTGCCTATGGCCTTGCATGGTTGCCTAAGGCCTTGCATGGGTGCCTATGGCCTTGCCAGGGTGCCTAAGGCCTTGCATGGGTGCCTATGGCCTTGCAAGGGTGCCTAAGGCCTTGCATGGGTGCCTATGGCCTTGCAAGGGTGCCTAAGGCCTTGCATGGGTGCCTATGGCCTTGCATGGGTGCCTAAGGCCTTGCATGGGTGCCTATGGTCCTGCATGGGTGGGTGATCAAGACACGGATGCAGGATGGCTGTGTGTGTCCGCAGTATCGCCCCTCGCCAGGTGCATGTGTGTCCGCTCTTCCTAGCGAACATGTTTCTCGCACTCACCACGCTGCTGCAGCACACGCACCCCGCCCTACGATGCCGTACAAATGTGCCCCTTCCCCGCCCCCGCCCTTTTCCTTCACCTTAATTCCTTCGCCCTCTCTCCGTTGCAGGTGTATGTTTGCCCTCTCCTCATAGTGAACATGTTCCTGGTGCTCATCACGCTGCTGCAGCACACGCACCCCGCCCTGCCACACTTCGACTCGACCGAGTGGGAGTGGCTGCGAGGGGCGCTCGCCACTGTCGACCGCGACTACGGCTACCTCAACATCGGTCAGTGAGCCCACAGTGCAGTGCGGTGCCGTGCGGTCTGGCGTAGTTCGGTGTGGTACGGTGTGGTGTCTAAGTCATTCATGCCTTGCCCACTAATCTCACCCTGGTTCTCCCTCGTTCCCCGCCCCCACTCCTCCCTCCTCCTTCATTCCCATTACCCCACTTCCCCTCCACCACACACAGTGCACCATCTCATTGCGGACACCCACGTAGCACATCACATATTCTCCACCATGCCTTTTCTTCACTAACTGAGCAACACCATCCCTGCTGTATTTTCCCTCGGCCTCACCCCCTCTTCCCCACTTTCCCCTCCCCCCGCCACCGCCACCGCCACCAGTGCACCATCACATTGCGGACGCGCACCTGGCACATCACATATTCTCCACCATGCCTCTTTCTAACTATCTGAACAACCCCTTGCCTGCTGTATGCCCCCCTGCTCTCCCCCCTCTCCCTCTCCCATCCCCTCCCACCACCAGTGCACCATCACATCGCGGACACCCACGTGGCGCATCACATATTCTCCACCATGCCGCACTACCATGCGGAGGAGGCCACCCGAGCCATCAAGCCAATCCTAAAGGACTACTACCAGTTTGATGGCACTCCCATCGTGAAAGCCCTCTGGCGGGAGGTGTCACAGTGCGTCTGTGTGAGTACCTACCAACCCTTCTGACCATTCCATTGTAGTCGTGCCTATTCATTAATCGCCTCAAACAGAGGAGGCAAGAGGAGGCCACACGAGCCATCAGGCCAATTCTTAAGGAGTACTACCAGGTCTGCCAGTTTGACGGCACGCCTATCGTGAAAGCGTTCTGGAGGGAGGTGTCGCAGTGCGTCTGTGTGAGTACCAATCCTCCAGACAATCGTAGTTGCGCCTATCGTTGAGGTGAGGCGCCTTAAAGTGAAGAGGCCACACCTGCCATCAAGCCCATGATCAAAGAGTACCACCAGTTGGTGGTGAAAACGCTGTGGCGGGAGACTTTTGAGTCGACTCAAAAGTCGACTTAAGGTGAAGGGGCTGCACCTGCCATCAAGCCCATGCTCAAGCACTACCACCAGTTGGTGGTGAATCACACGTGGTCACCCTTGGTCACACGTGGTCACACGTGGTCACACTTGGTCACACGTGGTCACACTTGGTCACACGTGGTCACCGCTGTGGCGGGAGGTGTCTCGTCTCAGTGTGTCTGTGTTAGTATTGGCACTTTGGGACCTTTCCTTCCATTACCTACTGACTTGTTTCATCACTTGCTCATTCCCTAACCACCACCTCGCCTCCCACAATTGCTCCCTCATGCTTCCAACACTTTCTCCCTCGTTTCCTTCCTTTCACTCCGCCATCCTTCCCCATCTTTCCCCCCTACTCCTGCAGGTGGCTCCTGATGCAGATGGGCCTAAGGGCGTGTACTGGTATTCAAACAAGCTCAAGTAAATCAGCAACTAGGCTTCTTCCCTCATGAATCTCCTCTCTCTCTGCCACCCATCTCTCCCCATCCTCCCCCCCAACCTTCTCTTGCAGGTGGCTCCTGACGCAGATGGGCCCAAGGGCGTGTACTGGTATTCAAACAAGCTCAAGTAAATCAGCATCGTAGTAAAAAAATACATGCCCAGGGTTCAAAGAAGGGTTTTACGAGCAGCAGGAGGTGGTGTGATAGTTGGGCCTGTTCTCTGTGACACATTATACATACCGTAAATGGCAGGCACAGAGGAGTGTATTCACACTTTCTCTTGCCTTGCCTAGTTTCTACTCCCCTTCCGTCAACCCCCAGTGTTGCTTTATATGGACAATTAAGCTAAAAGAAGACAATTACACTGGTATAAACAGCTCTGGAGGCGCCTAGAATGTTTCACCCATTTCTATTCACATGATTGAAAGCCCCCCCCCCCCCTCTCATGTGGACCATGCCTCCCTCTAGGGACTAGGCCGCTCTCATGGCCAACAACCCCCTCATGGGAACCAGGCCTCTCCCATACAGACAGGGCCTCTCATCTCAAAGGTAACCAGGCATTTCTCATCTGGATTGTGCCTCTCTTACCGGGAAATGCGCCTCCAACATGCGCACCAGCGCCTCTCAGAATAAAGCAGGCCTCTCTTGGGCTTTAGGATTTAGACCAAGTGTTGCACAGACCCCAACCACCACGGCCTAATTCGTGGCTAAGTTACCGGTAACTTGCTACAGCACCTTGCAGTACTAGTCCATATGCGATGGGTAAAGAGGGTTTGCTACAGTTTCACATGAAGTCATAATCATCATCAGGACCGGCATAAGAGCCCTTATAGTCGTCATCTTCTGGCCGATCCACTGTCAACTGCTGCTTCTTGGCTGCAAACACGAGAGCACAGCCGCACAGACAGTTACACGGAGACACGCATGCAACAGGGTGTACACACACCATGTTCAGGACATGGTCAGGGATAGAAAGGAACCATGGGTCATGACTCATGATTCAGAAATGAGCAAAACATCCGTTGCAGCACGTCAAAAATGTGCATTCAGTGCTGCATGTCAAACCACATCCATTCCATCCAAGCCCATCCATGAGTGCATTCACGCACAATGTGCATTCCATTCACGCACAATGTGCATTCCATTCACGCACAATGTGCATTCCATTCACGCACAATGTGCTTTCCATTCACGCACAATGTGCTTTCCATTCACGCACAATGTGCACTCCATTCACGCACAATGTGCATTCCATTCACGCACAATGTGCATTCCATTCACGCACAATGTGCATTCCATTCACGCACAATGTGCTTTCCATTCACGCACAATGTGCACTCCATTCACGCACAATGTGCATTCCATTCACGCACAATGTGCATTCCATTCACGCACAATGTGCATTCCATTCACGCACAATGTGCATTCCATTCACGCACAATGCGCACTCCATTCACGCACAATGTGCATTCCATTCACGCACAATGTGCATTCCATTCACGCACAATGTGCATTCCATTCACGCACAATGTGCATTCCATTCACGCACAATGTGCATTCCATTCACGCACAATGTGCATTCCATTCACGCACAATGTGCTTTCCACACCAACCCTTTTCTCCATCCAACTCCACTGCTGCACCCAATCAGCGTCCTCTTGCCCTTCTCTCACCCATCTCCCCTCTTTCCCTCACTTACCTCTCTTTTCTCCCACCTCACTCAGCTCCCCTCCCTTCTCTCCCTCACTCCCCTCCCATCACTCCCTGCACTCACCGCCCTTCTTCTTGCCCTTCTCTGCTTCCTTCTCCGCCTTAGGCTTCTCATTCGCGATCACAGCAGCAGCAGCGCTGATCTCCTTGGCGTCCTTCCCCACCAACGGACCCTCACTCATCTCTCGACCAGCCCGCTAATCCCCATTCCGCTCCCCATCCCCAACCCTTCTACCCAGCCATCATGTGCGCCCCACCCACCAACCTCTCCATCACTCCTCCCTCTTCTCTCCCCCACTCACCGCCCTTCTTCTTCCCCTTCTCTGCCTCCTTCTCTGCCTTAAGCTTCTCATTCGCGATCACCGCAGCAGCAGCGCTGATTTCCTTGGCGTCCTTCCCCACCAACGGAGCCTCCACCTTTCTCAGGATGTTCTTGATCAGCGACACATAGTGAAAGCTTTTCTGCACTTGACGGGAGGGAGGAGGGAGGGTGAGGGAGGGAGCAAGAGCAGGCACAAGAAGGCATGAGCAGCGCGCGACTCATCTCATCTGATTGGTGTCCTTGCCCACCAGTGGAATTTCGGGGGAGGTCGAGGTGATAACGCTATAGAACAGTGAGTGGCATTTGAGAGGTCTTTAGCAGATGACTGACGAGAAATGGTGAGAGAGAGAGAGAGAGGATAGGTGGGACGTGGTGAAAAGTGGAGAAGAATGGTGGCACCGTGGCACCATTCGTATCACGAATTTCCACCATTTTCCTCCACGATACCAAAATTTCCGCCGCTTACCGAGTGGGGAGTGATTCTGGCGGCAATCAGGTCTGCAAACTCGTTAAAGTCTGCCTCGCTTTTAGGTAGAAAGTCGTCCAGTGACCGCTCCGCCTCCTTTTTCTTCCCACCAAACAGCTCCTTTGTTGCCTTAAAGTCGCTCTCCTCCACGAGCCTGTGTGAATATGGGCGGACAGGGAGAAGGGGGGAGGGGGGAGAGGGGAGAGGGGAGGGAAGCGGGAAGAGGGGAGGGAGGAGAGGGGAGGTAGGATGTGGGAAGGAAGGGGGGAAAGAGGGGAAAGGGTGGTGTTGAAGTGACCGAAGCGGGAGTGGGGAACATGTGGGGGAGGAGGGTGGGGGGAGGGGGGTGGTGGGGCGGGTGTGGAGGGACAGGACGAAGGGACATGGGAAGGGGGGTCATGAAGTATCACAATTGCAACAGAGCTAAAGAGAGGCGTACTCTAAGCTCACCCTCACCATTGCAGTCTGAATTTCTCGACCTGAGGGTCCACAAGCACTCTATCATCCACCTCCTCCTCCTCTCTCGCTCATCCCCCCACTTTCCTCTTCCCCCCCACTCCCAACCAGACACACAAATACACTCACTCTGTCCTTCTCACCGCTGCTGTCTTCACTTCTTGGCCATCTGCAAGCACTCCATCATCCACCTCCTCTTTCCCCGTCCCCCTCCCCTTCTTCCCCCCCTCTCCCGCCCCGCCACCCTCCCTCCCCTTCTGCCCTTCCCTTCCAAAACACACACCCAACAAACACCACTCTCCTACTCCCCCCTTCCCTGCTCCTCTCTCAACCGCTTCTCTCACCGTTGTTGTCTTAGCTTCTCCGCTACAGGGTCTGCGAGCACTCCATCATCCACCACCTCCGCTTCTAACCCCCCCACCCTCCCCCCCCCCGGCACACGCCCAACAGCAGACACACACTCGTCCCCACTCTCCCTTCTCACCGTTGCTGTCTTAGCTTCTCCGCTACAGGGTCTGCGAGCACTCCATCATCCACCTCCTCCTCCTCCTCCTTCTCCTTGCCCTTGCCCTTGTCCTCCGCTTTCTTCTTCTTCTTCTCGCCCTTGGGCTTCGCCTGCACGCCACCAGCCATCCAACAGCATCATCACCAGCACACCAACAAACCCGCAGCACACCAGCAACCAGCAGAGCAATAACACACCACCGCACCAACACACCAGCACGCCAGCACAACAGCACACCAGCGATCAAACACCAGCACTGCAACACCAGCACTCCAACACCGGCACACCAGCACCAGCACCAGCACATAATCCGAGACACACGGTGGAAGCTGCTACTGAAACGGCACAACAGCAAGCGCCAATGTACACCTTGTAAACGCCAACCTCTCTCAGCAACTCCTCAACAAAACGGCAAAAAAAAAGGCTAAAATGCGAAAAATTCAAGACGCGGAAAAGTCGAGGGCGAGGGGGACTGACTGAGGCGGTGGTGGTGGGGGCCGGTGCTTCTTCCTCCTCTTCCTCGTCCTCCCACGATGACTTCACCGGCTCTTTCGCCACCACGACTGGCGGCGGCTCAAAGTCGTCAGCATCTGCGCGGAAGTGAAAGACGGGGGGGGGGGGGGGGGGGGGGGGGGGAAGGAAGGGGAGGAGGGAGGGGAAAGGAAACGGTTGAGGGGCGAAGGTGGGGTGGGTGGGGAAGGGGGAGAGGAGGACGCGATGAACGGGAAGGTGAGAAGAGAGAAGGGGGACGAGGGATAATTGAAGGACGAAATTTTAAACCCGAAATCATTTCACTGGTTTTTATGATTTTAGAAACGGGATGGCGAGTACGCTACGGACAGGAAACAAGTTTGCGAGCGACGCACAATAAGAATCAGCACGGTACTCCAGCAACCATTATCAAAGCTACAAGCAATGAATAGCCCACCAGGATCACAACCATATAGTTCTAAGGACCAAAGTCGACGGAAGGAAATGCTACGAAGAGAGGTGTCGAACCAATAGGGACTAATCACGAACCAATTGATAAGGATCATGCAGACATTCCAATTACGACCTTGAACGACCACAAGTCGAGCTGAACATTCATATTCTGGCTTAGATCGTGCATTCCGTTCACCTCGAGGATGCAGAAGAGGAAAAATCCAGAGCTGTGAGGGTAACAAAGTATACGTGCCATGTCACTATGTCTCAGCTGTTCAACAGCCAGGACTTTGACACGTCAGCAGTCTTGCTGACGTGTTATAGCAGCCGTCAACGTTCATGTGCCAGGTAGCCAGATATCGTAGCCTTTAAAGACTCATTAAACTCACTCCTCCATTAAGTCGGAGGACGAGAAAGGAAGAACGACCAGGAATAGTCGACAATGGATATTTCTCGATGCAACAGACCATGCATATTGGACGAATGAATAATCAATTCGCCACACCATCGATGATGCTCATGCCAAACACTAGCACGAGGCTCGCAGATACGCCGACGAACAGGTGAGACTGCTCTTGAAGCGCCATCCGTTTTGAAATGATCCTAGATTGCGAGCATCACTTTTAAGGCTAAAAAAACTACCTTGACGCTTACACAACAACACGAGTCCAAATCACCTAAGCTAACTAATGAGTCTCAATATGGCTGCGATGGCGCTCACGCAAAAAACCGAATCAGCCAATCCGCGAACTTACCCCAATCGTCTGACATTGCTGACGTCTTTCACTAGCCAAGCTTGAGCCTGAAACGGTTGAAACGATCAGCAACCTTATAGATATACCTTCACAAGTCAAACTTCTGGTGTGCTAATGTCTGCGGCGTGGGAGAGCACGAGGAAACAGCTACTTCCTCTCCTTGGTTCTACTAATCTGCAAAGGATACTAGTTTCCGCAAGACAGGAAAGAAAAGTAGCTGGTCAACAGGAGCTGTCAGTCTTCTACGACTGGCCCTATATTGAATGAAAATAAACCAGAAGAGAAGAGCATCTGTGAGAAGGGGGTAAGTCCTAAGAAATCTGAGCCATAATCAAGTTTCTGGCTGGGAGAATGCGTGGCTGTAAGGAGGATAGGGCTCGATAGGGAGAACGCCGATGATATCACCTGATTGGCTGGGGTGGGGGATTCCTGCTTCTGGAGGTCGCAGGTGGTACATCGTCCGAGCGACTGACACGTGGACTGCTGATGCGTTGACGAAGGCTTTGCTTGCTTAGCAGTTACATGCGCAATTGAGACCTGGTATAATTATATATGCTAGACACGAGAAATAAAACTTTTTGTCAATGCTAAGCAAGCACAAAATGCTGGTACCGTACATTGCAGCTAGCAACAAAAACAGAAACATGCACTGATATCCTACTTGAATTCAAAACATGAACTAATCTAGACTCGAATATGGAAGTAGTCATTGTCGAAGTGGTGAAGTCGGACATAACCATCCTCTCCACCGCTTGCAAAGCTGCATACAAACACCAACAAACAATGAGCTCCCTGACCACTGAAGACACTCCAACAAAACAGAAAAGTGACAATGAATGAAGCCGAGAACCTGAGACGAAGTGACAATAATTCAAAGCTGCATACCTTCGTCCATCAGGGCCAAACGCAAGAGCGTTCAACGGGCCGAAATGGCCCTTCACCCGGCCAATCTCTTCTTCCAATACCTGCCAGAATGATCGTTCACAAGGGAAACAGCAAATGCATGGGCACTGAGCACAAGGCACTGAGCGACCTTCTTCATACGGTAATAACAAAACAGAATCGACTACGAGTAAGGGAGGAAAGCACAAGTGGCACTGAAGTAGCACAAATTCGTCCACAGAAGAGGCTCATGAGGGACAGAGAGGAACAGAGAAAACAGAGCAGGGATCACAAACCTTGTGGTAAAAGACGGCTTCGAATTTGCCTGCTCGGGACGAAGTGGTGGTGACAGATGCAGCATCCTGTCCTCCTCCCAGCACCACCTGCAGGCAAACGTCGGGAATAAGCAAACCACAGGAGAAAGCAATCATGACTATCAAGTGGTGGTGACAGATGCAGCATCCTGTCCTCCTCCCAACACCACCTGCAGGGAACGATAGGAGATAGGCAAACCACAGGAGGTAGCAATATGGTGATCACCTGTTGGTGACACATGCAGCATGGTGACCTCCTCCCAGAGAATGTCAGAGAGATAAAGGGAGGAAGAAAGGTGATGGTCGTTGTGAAGGCAGGGAGGGGAACTGATTGGTGAGGTAGTGAGAGTGGACGAGGAGAGGGGAGGAGGAACTGACATGGTCGAAGAGAGGGGAGATGTCAGCGGCGTTGATGGGTCGCTCTGTCTGGTACGTCTTGAGCAGCCAGAGGTGAGGCTCAAGTGGTTATAGAAAGGTGATACTAACACCGTCAGACGGAGGTGAGACAAAAATTATCAAACTAGGAGAGGAACTGACATGGTCGAAGAGAGGGGAGATGTCAGCGGCATTGATGGGTCGCTCTGTCTGGTACGTCTTGAGCAGACGCAGTGTGCGTGTGTCCCACAGCTGCATTGGGAAGAGGAAAGTCACAAAGAACCAAACACACGTTTAGCAGGGGGGGAAAAGAGAGAAGAGAGAGAGAGAGAAAAAGATGTCACAGGTGGAAGCGATTCATCTGCTGGCAAGTTCTCCTGCTTAAACCTGAAGGAGAAAACTTGTCACAGGGACTACTGTGTACTTTCTCCCTTCTCCCTTCTTTTCCGTTTCTTCCAGCTCACCTTGGCACACGTATTATCCAACGACCCTGTGATGAAGTGCGACCCGTCTGCTGACAGATTACAGTGGCACAAACACTAACTCTTTCTAGCACATGCATGGAGTCTCACCTTGGCACACTTATCCAACGACCCTGTGATGAAGTGCGACCCGTCTGCTGACTTGGACAGTGACGTCACTGTCTTGCTGTGCGCCACTTCCGGCTCCGTCTCTCGCAGCAGCTTGCCCGTCTGAGTGTGTTGGAAGAGCAAGGGGCGGAGGGAGAGGAAAGAGGGAAGAGAGTGGGGTGGGTGGGAATTCACATGCATGGAAGGCAGGTCTTGCTGTGCGTCACTTCAGGCTCCGTCTCCCGTAACAGCTTGCCCATCCGAGTGCGTTGAGGAAGAGAGGAAGAGAGGAAGAGAGTGGGATAAATGGGGAAGAGGGAAGGTAGTAAGGTCGGCACGGGAAGCAAGCGATGGGCATAGAGGGGCACTGGGGAGCGCGAGCATGTGGGCATGGATGGGCGGCAGCATCGTGAAAAGTCTTGATAGACGTTTCAAGTGTTGAGTCGACTCACACGGCGGCGTGTGCATGAGTAAAGCCCCCACCCCACCAGGGAACCCACCACCCGTCCGCCTCACCTCAGCGTCCCACATGCAAATAATGCAGTCCTCCCCCGTGCACCTGAGCGCGTCTGGTGGAGTGGGTCCCACACACACATGCTAGTCGCAGGCTCGCTAGCAGCACAGCACACCTCCCATGAACACCAACGTTATCACCTATTAGCCCCCTTCATCAACACCACCCATCCGCCTCACCTCGGCGTCCCACATGCGGATGATGCAGTCCTCCTCCCCCCCGTGCCGATGAGTGTCTTGTTGAGTGGGGACCTACCACTCACATTCACCCACCATCAGCACCCTACCTATCACTACCACCCAGCATTACACCCATGAACACAGCACATCCGCCTCACCTCTGCGTCCCACATGCGGATGATGCAGTCCTCCCCCGTGCCTATGAGCGTCTGGTTGAGAGGGCCCCACACACAGCGCATGATTCGGCCCTGGGGACCCGTGATCTGCAGCACTGACTCTTCCTCCTCTGATGGTGAAAAAACAGAGTGAGTGGAGGGGAAGAGCGTCAGGTAGGAGGGAGGGTCAGGGACACAAACAAATGATTCGGCCCTAGGGACCCGTTCTCTGCAGCACCGACTCCTCCTCCTCTGATGGTGGAAGTGGAAGGAGCATGGGCAGGGAGGGAAACAAAAGCAGCACTTATCCAACAGGGAGACGCGCAGCGCATGATTTGGCCCTGGGGGGGTGTGACCTGCAGCACCGACTCCTCCTCCTCTGATGGCAACAGAAGGGGGGAGAGGCGGGAGACAGATGAACGAGCACACGGAGCGGGAAACTGAGAGGCCCACCACAGCACATGGCACGCAGCGCATGGCACGCAGCGCATGGCACGCAGCGCATGGCGCGCAGTACATGGCACGCAGCACATGGCACGCAGCACATGGCACGCAGCGCATGGCACGCAGCGCATGGCACGCAGCGCATGGCACGCAGCGCATGGCACGCAGCGCATGGCACGCAGTGCATTATTCGAGCCTGGGGGGCTGTGCTCTGCAGCAACCGCTCCTCCTCTGATGGTGGGAAAAAGACGGGGGAGGATAGGGACAAAACAGGTCCATTCACGTTCTCGGCTGCCCTCCTTGATCCGCTTCACGTGAATGGCCGGCACGCTGCCCATAAACGGGTCCACCGTGATCGCCGCGAGCTGCTCGCCCTCCGCAAGAGTGACGGAGCTGCTCGCCTCGCCCTCCTCGCCAGAACAGAACTACTAAGGGCGAATGGCCGTTGTGCAAGAGAGACAAGGGGCGAAGGGCCGTTGGGGGAGAGGATGAGTGATGCTCACGTTCTCGGCTGCCCTCCTTGATCCGCTTGACGTGAATGGCCGGCACGCTGCCCATAAACGGGTCCACCGTGATCGCCGCGAGCTGCTCGCCCTCCGCGAGCGCGACGGAGCGCGCAGGGCCGTCCATGGTGAAGGTGTAGTACGGCGTTCCCGTCTCGACCTCCCACAGCTTCATGCTCTGATCCGCCGACGCCGTTATAAGCATCTTGGAGTCGCCTGTAACGCGGATGAGGAGATTTGAAAAACCATGATGACGAGAAATGAACGGAAAGAGGGACGGGTAAGGCAGGGAGAAAGGGATAGAGGAAGAGGAATGGGGGAAGAGGGATCGGGGAGGATGGATGGTTGACGTAGCGTACGAGAACGGTAGGAGCTTGAATTGCAATGCCCATGAGGTCGCAATCCTGATCATCAAGTGATACGCCACTGCCGCCTACCGTGACGGGAACGGAGCAAAATACGGCAAGTTTGGAGGCGCCTTAAAATTGCAAGGTACGAGCAAGGTAAGACCTTATGCTGCAAGTCCCATAAGGTCGTCCTCCTAATCGTCGAGTGATACGCCACAACCGCCTACGCGTGAAGGGAACGGAACGGGAAAATTTACGGCGAGTTGCAGTATTACTTGAAAGGCAACTAAGAAGGAAACCCTGATTAAACCCTCGCGTGGACGGCTCCTACCGTTCTGCCACGCGTCCTTAGTGGCTAGGGTTTGCATCGGCCGACTCGGTCCGCCCTGAATCGAAATAACCTAGAGCCTAGTGCCTAATGCAATTGAACAAAGAAGGACCTAAGCGCCAGAACTGAAAGACCAGGGAGGCTGCTAAACGGCTCCAATTCCGGGAAAATCACGGCAACTTCCTCGCAACCCGCACAGCGCCATAAGCGCCGTCGTAATCGACGAATCTCCTTCAAGCCTCTCAAGCCTCAATAAGACAGGCGTAACGGACAATCAACGAAATCTATACTGTAACCGAAACCAATCCTGATCGCTCGTCTAGACATTGCACTGAACGTTACCTAGTCTAATAACCTTATCAGTCAAGAGAGATTCAGTCCAAACATTGACCGGATCGACAATACCTAATGAAAAACGGCCTCTCTAATCCCCCACGAGAGCCGTCGCTGCTCCAAACGGCTTCGTTACGTCCTTTGTATTCGCACCAACCCTCTCGTCTCTATCCGGCTAGTCGTGCTACGCCTCGCTTTACACCGACGATCAGTGAAGAGCACCGGAAGTTTGAAAATTCGTTATCCGAGCACTCACGTGAGACGTCGCACGTCCACACGGCTCCGTTGTGGCCCTTGTACGTGCCGACGCGCTCGCCATTATCCGTGTACCACACGGTGGGTTGGTGATCCTTGGCGCAGGAAAACAGCAGATCGCCGTCGCGATTGTACTTGAGGAACGTCAGCGGCCTCTCGTGACCCTTCATCAGCTGCGGCCTCATCTTTCCCGAACGTAATTAATTAGGTAAACTCCTTAGTTTTGAAGGAGGTGGACGGCTATGGCGGTCTAGGCTATTCAGCTAGACAGCTATGAGTTGAGCTAGCCGTGCGTGAAAGCTGAAGGAAGAACGAGGCACGGAGTCCTGCGGATGTGCAGGAGAGAAAGAGCAGATACGAGAAGAAGCCGACTTGAATGTGCAAGGAATTTATCGCAGTCACCAGGTTCCTTGTTGCGTCACAATAAGGTTTCGTATGGTCTGGCCAGATGCGGAACGGTTGGAATGGGTAAAGAACCTGAATTGGTCTGGATTAGGTCGAGTGGGTGGGATGTTCTGACGTGAACAGCGAGCGGTTCAGAACGGCTAAGAGAGCTACTCACTGCATTAACTTTGTTATGAGTGGTAAATGGTGTGCACGAAAATGCCAATACGTATGAGTGCAAGTGAAAAGACACAAGTGAAAGCCTGTAAGATATTGTGAAGTAGTTAGTTTCTGTGAGAGTCTAAAGCCGCTTGCTCCCTCTCCACTCACAAAAAGAGAGCATTCTCGCATAATAGGCCAGCCAGAGGTCCAGATATTCCTACTACAGAACATGTTCCAGGCAAACCTTAGCATAGCTTACCTTTCCATTGCATGCACCCCACACCGCTCCAGGGTGCACTGGGTAGACACGGATCAAGGTTTGAGACTTGCTACCGTAAATTGGGAAGGTGCAACTGTTGTCTAGAAATGAGCAAACCTTCAGGCCATCTCTGGCGAGTTCTAGCCTGGTCTGGTGGAACAGGGCAATTAGTTCTTGTGCAATGATAGATCCACATGACAACTTGGTTCAAAGCTCTAAATGCTCACAGGACAGCAGGGGGTCATCAATTATTTTTATAAAAACTACACAATGTAAGTGCAGCAAAACATGGGATTAGGATCAGTGAAATACGCCACCAGATCGGTTCACCATTACGCCTGCTTCATGTGCTGTACAATGCTTCTAGTAGGGTATCTTGAATTCCTGAAATACAGGCGCCATGAGAACTGGAAAACGTCACAGCAGTGCGACACGTCCAGTAAACGATTCCTGCGACCGTAGCTGTTATCACTGCTGTCGCCGTTGCTGGCGCCTTTGCTGGCGCCGTTTAAGCCGCTGTTTGCGGCATGTGCGTTGAGACTAAACGTCACGCAGCGAACGGACACCAGTCTGTGGATGAACGAGAACCGTCCGCGAAGCCGTCTGTCCGGGAATGGGACACTGTCTGTCGGGAAACCGACAGATTTGATGGTGAACTGCCACCGTCTGACGGTGAATAGTCACCGTATGTTGTTGAACGGATACCGTATGTTAGTAAAGGACACCGTCTTTTGGTCGACGGACACCTGTTCGTCAGGGAACAGACTGCGTCCGTTAAGAACAGAGAATGCACGGACACCGTCTGTCAGTGAACGGAGACCACCGATCCGCATCGCGAAAGGGCTTTTGTCCCCTGCGACGTTGTCACATCGCTGCAGTAGCACTTTTCGTAAAAGCACAGGACCAAGTGAGTCACAGTCAGCCGACGCGCGTCGCGGCTGTCAAGTCCCCATGCTTACGCGCTTCCGCTTCCGCCACTTTCGCCGCTAAAGCCGCTGTTGCTGCTGGTGGAAGGAGAACGCGCTTCGGGGCTTTCGGGAAATCCATCCTCTTCTGGACGTCCATTCACAGTGTAAGTGTCCCCTCGCGGTTCGGAAGCGTCTGACGACCGTGTCGCGTTTGCCGCGGCGTAGAACCGATTTTGCCGGATCTCCCTGTGCAGCAACTTCGCATCGTGGCCGTTGCGGAGATGCACGAGGAAATCGTGGCCGTCCGTCACTTGAAGCAGCCCGGTCGCTGAAGATTTTCTTAGCTCCACGCAGAACCCTAGCGCGGTCAGCTTCTGCTGAAGCTGGCTTAGTAGCTTCACCTTGACCATAATTGCTTTGAAGGAAAGGCTTGCGACGGAGCCGAAGTAAGGGCCATAGAGAATCACGAGAGTCGGAGGTTCTTTGGGGGAATCAACTGCCATATTCGCAGAACTTGTTCTGGGAGACAGTATCGCCATGGCGACAGTATCTGCTGATCGAAGAACTTGTTCTGGGAGAAAGAAAATCGCGATCTTGAAACTGAACTGTAAGGATCCCTGTATCTAGAAAGTTGCTCAACATCAACAAAAAGACTCTCCCCACCACGGAAAGATGGTCGATGCAAATCAGACGTACAACGATATAGGGTTCTCCCCACCTTTGATGTACCACGCGAACGCGGAGGCTGAAGGGCCAGGAGATGTGTGTGTCAACTCGGTGCGGGTGACTTTTTTGGGGGGGATTTAAAAGGTTCATTATGGTTCACTATGGTCAAAAGCGGTGAAAGTCAAAAGCTGCTCTTGAACGTGGTTTGCCAGACTAAACCGCGTCGGACGAATCACGAACGAGGAAGTATGACCCCGCCCCCACCGCGCAATGCGATGCGATGTGAATGGTGATGTGAATGATTATGTGTATGTGCTGTGTGATGCGATGCGATGTGGTGGACTTGCCTCTCTGAAGATGGAGAGGAGAACCACCATCATCACCGTGACACCGCCTTGTGAAAACTGTACGTGCTGAGCGATTGTTCGTCATGCTGTTTCACGTGTTTCGTTTGACAGAAACTGACTCGACATGTTGTTTTGCCGATAATTAGACAAAGTGTTGGACAATTTTAAGAATTGCGCGCAGCACTGTAGACCAGACTCGTTCAGAAATATCCTGCCCGAAAGAAGAAAAATAATAATGGTACGGCAGATTCACGTGACAAGATGGTGCCAAGGAGCATCAGTGGGAGGGGTGAAAGTTGGTGGCTTGGGATGCTTGTTTATGCTGTACAGTACCGCACTGGACTCACGAGGCTGTCATCAATTCCCCGGCGACAATTCCTCTCGAAAGCAGTTGTTTCATTTTCAACCAAACATTGAGGCTGCCCCGTGTCTTCTGGTTGGGGTGGTGAGCAATCAAAGGGTTTTTAGTTTTTTTTTTTTTTTTAAGAACGAGTTTGCATTATAACCATGCAAATACATTCACAGTCGTAACTTTAAAGGGTTTCTAGTTGATCCCGCATTGTTACTGGAACTATACGCCAAAAGCGCAGCACTGTCGCTTCTGGCGCACAGTTACTGCCCAGTTTTCGATCACAGCGCAGAGTTAGTGAGATTTCTACGCAGTGAAGTTTTCATTGGTCAAAATGTCAACGGCCCGACAACTCCGCTTGGATTGACGGCTATCGAACCGTTTGCAATGAATTTTGGGCAGACAAATATAATACCCTCTCAGATGGCATGCTGTTTAGGGAGCATCAACCCTAAACACTGGGCGGAATTGTTTAGGGAGCATCAACCCTAAACATTGGGCGAAAGTGTTTTAGGTTACTGCCCTTTCCGACGGGTTAAAAATATTTCTTTTATGGCTGCCATCGAGGGAGGCATCAACCCTAAACACTATGCGAATGGGTATTTAGGATTGATGCTCTCTCTATATGGGCTTGAAAAATGTTAAACACCTGACTGAGTTAAACTTTTTTCTCTTACACAGAAGGCTTGTCGTTTCCAGAGATTTAGACCAATGAGCGTCGAGCTGCGTAGAAATCGCACTAACTCTGCGCTGTAATCGAAAACTGGACAGTAACCCTGCCCCAGAAGCGATGAAATGCGCAATTGGCTTACAGTTTCAAAAACCGTGCTTTGTCAACTGAAAGCCCGCAATCAAATGAATGCCTGGCCGTAGAACCTGAAAGGCTTTTGTTTGCATTGAAATCATGTCGCACAGCCTAGTAACACGTAGAACGTCATTTGCGGGCACTTTCGAACTGCCAACTCCCATGTTTTTAGGAGGGAGTCGTAGCGGGGCCACAAACCAGCTCAGCACCTGCATTCCACCACAGCAGCCTTGTCGGGATCGTTGTTTGTTGAGAGGTGAGGGGCATTCATGTTGCATTTTCCAGCTGCATTACGTGTACCTCCATCCAGCGCAGCAATGAATGGTCCACAAAGTCGCTGCGCGGCGTCAGGCGCGGCGGCTATGCCAATGATAAACGGCGGTGAACGAATCCTCTATAATTTCTATTCCAGAGGGCGATGCACGTCCCGCCAGAGCCTTCCGCTTGTACGGAGTGTGGGAACAGTTGGCAGCTTCGGGCAATTGACAATTTGCTGGAAGAAACCCCACCATTGATTTTCGTCTTCCTGGTTGTGATTTTTGTGGCTCCGCAACAGTCAAACAGAACCACTGGAGTGGAGACCCGTTCGGCTGCATCATATCCCATGTCCTCCGACACAAGACCAGAGGGTGCTGGGTACAGTGAAGGTCATCGTGTTAAATTACCCCGGTTTTCGCAAGAGAGCTTATCTAAATTAATGAAACTACTGCATTTGCAGTAATGGCTCTTGCACTTTAGTCTATCACGCCTTTCTACAGCACACACTCCCCAGCCAGTCTTATCCCAGTGCCCTAAAACACCTCTTTCCCTTCTGGCCCCTCCCTTGCCACTTCTGCTGTGTTCAGATCTCATTTTTCTAGTTGTGACTAGGCAAACATATGAACATAGTGCTTTGCTGGATTGAATCACGGCACCATGTTTTCCAACAAAATACAAGCCGGACCTTAAGCAATTACCCACATATCGTAAATCCCGCCCTTCGGTATTGTCTCTTATAATGAATGGTCATTGCGGCTGAGACACGTCTAGGCCCGAGCCTAAGCTGCACCTGATAGCACGGATGTGACATTTAGTTTGCCAAATCTATCCACCAATTCCGGAGGAGGCTCGAAGTGTATTCCATTCAAAGGAATATTCATGTCCATTGCATACAACAGTGAGCCCTCCTTATAAGATTGCTGCTTCGAAACAAGGCACAATAGTTGAAAGGGGCGGAAGAGGAGAGGGCAGGGGAGAGTCGAGTGGGGACGGGGATGGGAGGGAGGGCCTTGGTGAGCTCTAGAGAGGCGGTTCAAATGTTAGGAATTCCCTAAAAAATATATATATATATTACGCATTCCCAATACGATGCAACTGCTTCTCGTATATGACTGCTGCATGCCTCGAAGGGCATGGAACATCCTGCACGTACCACGGCTATGTCCATGCCAATTGGTGACACTCACACCATGTGTATTTGCAAGTCAACACACATACTCACCTCATCATATAGCTCCAGCAGCTCGCTCGCCGCATTGGTCGGATGCGCATCCTCGGAGAACTTAAACGCATCCAACACCTCCACAGTGCAATTGAACCCCACAAACACCAACACGCCCAGCCCCACTCACCCACTCTCACCTCATCATATAGCTCTAGCAGCTTGCTCCCAGCATTGGTCAGACGCGCATCCTCGGAGATCTTAAACACAACTGAAGCACCAACGGTGCGATTCAACCCCAGAAACACCCATGTGCCCGGTCAGTCACGCACTCGCTCACTCACCTTCTCGTACTCACCTCATCATACAGCTCCAGCAGCTTGCTCCTGGCATTGGTCGGATGCGCATCCTTGGAGATCTTAAACGCATCTAACACCCCCATGGTGCAATTGAGCCCCACAAACACCAACACGCCCAGCCCCACTCACCCACTCACGCACCTCATCATATAACTCGAGAAGCTTGCTCCCAACATTCGTCGCATGAGCATCCTTGGAGATCTCAAACGCTCCCGACTCCCCCACAGTGCGGTTCAGTCTCCGCAGCACCTCCCCCACATCCTCACACTCCTAAATGGCCACTCCACTTACCCACTTTCCCCCACTCACTCACTCACTCACTCACATGCCCATACCACTCACCTCATCATATAACTCCAGCAGCTTGCTCCCAGCATTAGTCGGATGAGCATCTTTTGAGATCTTAAACGCGCCCGACTCGCCCACAGTGCGGTTCAATCTCTGCAGCACCAACCCCACATCCTCCGCCAGATTCTCAAACCGCCCCACGAAATCAAATCGGATCTTGTCAAACTGGCAGGCGTCGATCTGCGGCTGCACGTGGGATTCCATGCGTCCCCGGCGCTGCTCCCGCATCTGCCTCAGCAGCCACGCAAACTCTCCAAAGGTGAACAGTTCGTCTCCCTTTTTCGCCTTGACCAGCCGCCGGAAGGGAATGAACTTGCGGAAAAACATCTGATGGGCGCAGGGGGATGATGGGGGAGGAGTAGAGGGGTGGAAGGAAAGGTTGGCAGTAAGGTTGCATGTGAGTCAGCAATTCAGTCACTTGTGCTTGCAGAATCAGTATGTGGGGATTCACACATCTGTCACCATGCACTTTTTTTTTTTTTTTCATATATATCCCCCACCATTCCCCCCCACTTCCCTACAGCCACCCACCCACACGCAGCCACCCTGCATGTGCTTGTTCAGATACACTGACGCCAGCTGCGTATACGGGTTCCTCACAAACGAGAACTGGAAGAAGTCCGGGCGGGTCAGCAGCTCAATCGCGCAGTGCTCTGGGAAGTGGTATGCGAGGATGCATACATTCCCATTCCTTTCTCCTTGCCTTCCCCCTACCCTTCCACTCCCCTCCCGTACACCACAATCCACCCACCCAACCACCCACCTTGTTCCAGAACTGTCTCGAGTAAGGAGGCCCCCCACCAACGTGCTTGTTCAGATACACGGACGCCAGCCGCGTATACGGGTTCCGCACAAATGAAAACTTAAAAAAATCCGGCCGAGTCAGCAGCTCAATAACCCGGTGCTCTGGGAAGTGGTATGCGAGGATGCGCAGGCCTGAGCGCGCCTTGTCATGGGTCAGAAACACGTCTGACACGTTGTTCTGCCCTTGTTGCTCTCGAAACCACGTTTTCCACCCCGTGCAGGCCACCTTGGGGACGAAGCAGTAGATCGCCTTTAGGTTTTCTGCATGCAAGGAGACAGGGAGATGGGGCGATCGGAAGTTGGGGAGAATCGGAGGACAGGAGAGACGGCTGAGTCGGGCCGCGTGCTGGGTAGGCAGTGGGAAGTGGGGGCCTGAGGCACGGGTAGGCGAGGATGCGCAGGCCTGAGCGCGCCTTGTCGTGGGTCAGAAACACGTTTAGGGGGGAAGGAGAGGGGGCGGGGAGGGGGCAGGAGTCTGTCACGTTGCTCTGTTGTCCTCGGAACCACGTTTTCCATCCCGTGCAGGCGACCTTGGGGACGAAGCAGTAGGCGGCCTTGAGGCACTCTGGTGGTGGTTGTGGTTGAGGGGGGGAGAGGCGGGAGGCGGCAGGAGGGGTTGGTGAAGACAGTCACACAAGAAACATTGGCTTGGCCTTGCTGCTCCCGGAACCACGTCTTCCACCCCATGCAGGCGGCCTTACGCACGAAGCAGTAGATGGCCTTAAGATTTTATGGTGGTGGTGTGGGCGGGTGAAAAGGGGGTAAGAAAGCGGTGATGAAGAGACATTCACACAGGACATGTTGCTCTGCCCCTTCTTTCGTGATAAAAGTAACATTTTGAGACGTCTCAAAATGTTAGTTTTATCACGCAGAAACATTCAGACAGGACACGTTGCTCTGCCTTTTTGAGAATTCTCAAAATCCAGCTTGCTCTGCCTTTTTGAGAATTCTCTCACCGTCCATTTTGAACTGCTACTTCTCAAACGAGACAGCCTTAAGATGCCCACTATTGCACGTGGCAGCACTGTAATTACACTCAGCCACACGGGGAACCACACAACAGCCCTCCTCTCCCTCACCATCCACTATGAACTGCCGCAGGAACCGCTGCTGGCTGGAGCGGCGCGCAGCCGCACAGCCACTCAGCAACCTCTCTCAGCCACACAGCCACTCAGCAACCTCTCTCAGCCGCACAGCCACTCAGCAACCTCTCTCAGCCACACAGCCACTCAGCAACCTCTCTCAGCCGCACAGCCACTCAGCAACCTCTCTCAGCCGCACAGCCACTCAGCAACCTCTCTCAGCCGCACAGCCACTCAGCAACCTCTCTCAGCCACGCAGCCACTCAGCAACCTCTCTCAGCCACACAGCCACTCAGCAACCTCTCTCAGCCGCACAGCCACTCAGCAACCTCTCTCAGCCACACAGCCACTCAGCAACCTCTCTCAGCCACACAGCCACTCAGCAACCTCTCTCAGCCGCACAGCCACTCAGCAACCTCTCTCAGCCGCACAGCCACTCAGCAACCTCTCTCAGCCACACAGCCACTCAGCAACCTCTCTCAGCCACACAGCCACTCAGCAACCTCTCTCAGCCACACAGCCACACAGCCATTGCAACTCATAGCCAGTTGCAACTCAACCAACAGCCCACCAGCCCCCCACTCTCCCTCTCACCGTCCACGATGAATTGCCGCAGGAACCGCTGCTTCCCGAACGACTCAGCCTTGGGAGCCTCACAGACAGTCGGCGCCACAGCGAATGGCACTCGCCGCACTGAGAACGACCCCTTCTCTGCAGCACCCGCAGCATCTGCACCACCTATTGCTGCCTCTGCCCCCTCTGCTCCCTCCCCTTCCACTCCCCCATCCGCTCCCCCTGCTCCTCCACTCCCCCTCTCCCCCAACGTCCTTCCCCCTTCCAACCCCAGGATCTCCCGGGCGGTGCGGGCGGTGGCCTGGGCGCGGAGGAAGCGGGCCTCGAGAGACGCGCGGGTGTGGATGAGCGCCGCTGCTGCCGACACCACCCACGCCTCCGCCACCTGCAGCTGCGCGCACAGCGTCGCGTTGAACTCAACGCTGCTGCTGCTGTTGCCAGCTGAATCAGCCTTCTTGCGACTGCTCTTGCCTGAGAGGCCAGACGCCATGCCCTCCCCACCTTTGTCCTTCGATCCCTCCCCGCTGCTCTTCTCCCTCTTCTCTTCTAATAACAACCTCCTCCTTCCCTGCTGCTTCTTACTCCGTTTCACCACCTCTCCCTCGCCCTCCCCTCCTTCCTCCCCTTCTCCGTCTCCTGCTCTGCCCATCTCACCCTTCCCATCTCCACCCCCCCGTTCCCCCTCCTCCCCCTCCCCCTCCCCACCCCCGTCCCCATCCTCCTCCCCATCCTTCCCCCGCCCCCTCTCCTCCCCCCATATCCCCCCAGCGCCACCAGCAGGGGAGGGGCAGGCGTTTAGGCGGGTAAGAGTGACGTCGAGCAGCAGGGGGGCGCGGAGGGGGTGGAAGGTGCGTGCCACAGCAGCTGCATCTGCCGCCCAGAACGCACCCATTGTGAAATCCACCCGCCTCCCCTCCGCTGTGTGCCCTTCTTGCAGCCCCCCTCCGGCTCCTCTGCCTCCTCCTTCACCTCCTCTCCCTTCTCCTGCTGCTCCTCCTGCTGTTCCGGCTGTTGCTGCTGCGCCTACTCCTGCCCCTCCTGCTGTTGCTGCTGCCCCTGCTTCTCTTTCAGGTGCCACCTCCCCCAGATACTGCCAAGCCAGCGTGCGCAGCGTGCAGTTCAGAAGGGGGTAATCCGGACAGCCTGGACAGCTGCCAGGTGGCAGCTCCTCATTGGCCTGCGGATTGGGCCATGGGATGCGCTAACAAAATATGGGCATTTAACTTGACAAGTAGACAGCATCACTGAAAGCACAATAAAAGGGCCTGATTTGAACTAAATTGGATATCCATGGTTTAAACCACTTGACCACACGCTTTACTCCCTCTACCCTCCCTTGCCTCTCTCACCTCGAGATACACAGCGGCGGTGGAGTGGGAGAGCCTAGAGAGCGCGGGTTGGGACCCCATGATGGCCGCCACGCCTGCGATTCCTGAGTCAAGTCAACCTCCTCCCTTCAATCACCACCCCCCCGCTCCTTGCTCTCACCTCAAGGTACACAGCGGTGGAGTGGGGGAGCCTAGAGAGCGCAGAGGCGGGTTGGGACCCCATGATGCCCGCCACGCCTGCTTTGTCTGAATGATCTTAACCTCCTCCATTCCCCAACCCCCACCCTCCTGCTCCCTCCTGCTTCCTCCACCCTTCTCGCCCCCCACCCTCCCTCACCTCGAGATAAACGGCAGTAGAACGGAGGAGTCTGGAGAGCGTGGAAGAGGGTTGGGCGCGCATGATGGCAGCCACGCCTGCTCTTTCTGAGTCAACTCAACCTCCTTGCACCCTTCCCCACCGCACAGCTCCTTTCTGCTCCCTCGCTGCTCTCACCTCGAGATAAACGGCAGTAGAACGGAGGAGGGCGGAGAGGGCGGAGGCGGGGTGGGCGCGCATGATGGCCGCCACGCCTGCTGACGGCCGCACCCCGCCCAGGCAGGCCGCCTCCAGCCGCCGCGCAGTGCAGACCTCTTCGTTTGACTGGTAATGGGAAGGGAAAAAAAGGGGAGGGAAGAGTGGGAAATTGACAGCCGCACCCCGCCCATGCAGGCGTGCAGTGCAGACCTCTTGGTTTGACTGGAGGGGAGCGGGGAAGGGGGGAGGGTAAAGGCGGGAGGGAAGAGTGGGGAAATGATGGCCGTACCCCGCCCAGGCAGGCAGCCTCCAGCCGCCGTGCAGTGCAGACCTCGGAGGGAGTCTGGTGAGACGGGAGTGGCAATGGCAATGTCACATCACAGACCCGCTCACTTCTTAAGAAACAACTAGCAGCCTATCTATGAGAATTCTCAAAAACACCCTGCAACGAGAAGGGAGTGGCAATGGGAATGTCACATCACAGACCCGCTCATTTCTTAAGAAACAACTAGCAGCCTATTTATAAATATTTGTACAGACGGATACATGCATATAAAAAACATACCAAATTGGTTACTTTCCAGCTTACCAGAGACGAAGAAGCAAGGCTTTTGAGGCGCCTCAAAAGTGAGTCGACTCAAAGTCACCTCTTTCCAGCTTACCAGAGACGAAGAAGCAAGGCTCCATGATGTATTGGGAAGCAGCAGAGAGACGACTGTGTCTGTCTGTGTGACCAGCAGAGAGATGGCAGATTATTTCATTTTCCAGCCTACCAGGGACGAAGAAGCAGGGCTCCACGATGCATTGGGAAGCAGCAGAGTGACGACAGTGTCTGTCTCCGTCAACACCCCCTCTGCTGTGCTCCTCCCACTCTCACTGCCACCACTGCTGGCGCTGCTGGCACTTGCACTGGCAGCACTGGTGGCGCAAGGCGGCAGTGATACCTGGGAAGATAGGAGAGCATGGAGGGGAGAGGGATGAGGGAGGATAAGTGGGAGGAGGCACGTGAAGGAGAGAGCACGTGAAGGAGAGAGCACGTGGAGGGAGGCATGAGGGGGAGCAAGACGGGACGCATGAAGGGGAGCAAGTGAGGGGACGCATGAGAGGGAACAGGCGGAGGGAGGTATATACTGCATGTCACCTGCTCTACCCATCGCCCCTCAGCCCTGTACTCATGCCGAGGCACCTCAGGGACGCAAGAGGCTGGTCGGCGGGCATGTCTGTCTGTACCACCACGTCACGTCTGGCTAGCTACTAATTAGCCTCAACTACTGATTAGCCTCAGCTGTCCATTAGCCTCAAACCAGACCCCGTCAGCCCTTGCACCACCTTCAGCCAACTCACCTGCTGCTCTATCCATACCCGCTAAGCCCTCGCCTCACATTGAACCATCTCAGGGATGCGTGAGGAGGGTCAGTAGGCATGTCCACCTGCCTGAACCACCACGTCTGGCCAGCTATCCATTAGCCTCACCAGCAGCTCTGCCATCTAATTCTGCTCTTTTCGCTGCAGTTTTTTTTTTTTTTTTGGCTTGTCCGGCTTTTTGCTGCTGCTGCTTCTGCAGCCGAGTCACCTGGTATACCCGCAGCCCTGGACCCCTGTACTCACATTGAGCCATCTCAGGGATGCAAGAGGCGGGTCAGCAGGCATGTCTGCCTGCACCATCACGTCTGGCCAGCTATCCATCAGCCTCAGCACCAGCGCTGCTTCTTCCCCTGATCCACCTGCTCCTGCTCCTGCTGCCCCTGCTTCACCTGCTGCCGAGCCTACAGCAGTTCCCGCAGCAGCAGGTTCGGATCCTGCCAGCATCACACGTCTCATTCGCTCCCTATCAGGGGGTCCAGCAAAGACAGCGTCAAACGGCGCATGGGGAATCAAGTCACTCGCACTGCCACTACTGCTGCTGCTGCTGCTGCTGCTGCTGCTGCTGCTGCTGCTGCTGCTGCTGCTGCTGCTCCCTCCACTTTCTCCACCAACCAACGTGGTACGTCCCTTCCGCCACACTACAGTGACCAAACCTCTGTCTTGAACGTTAACAGAGTTACCAGGCAAGTCAGCAGCAGACTTGACGGAGCTGACGGAGCTTCCACTGTCCCTGGAGGTCTCCGTCACCCCTGCTGACTGAAACCTCCTGGCCACTACGGTGGCGACAGCTGGCGCCAGGCAGAGCGTCTGAAGCTGTGACATCGTTCCTCCCTGCAGAGCAGGATGTGCGACAATATGGTTATGATGAAATTAGAAAATGATCTAACAAAGAGGTACCATGTCGAAACTACAACTCCATAACGGAAGAGACAAGAAACGGAAAGTCTTGGAGGAGAATCACAAGTGGGAAAAGAAAGATAGTAAAAAATAAAAGACACAACGTGGCACATACCTCTGCTAGGGCGACGACTCTGAACGACGGTATGAGCGGTCCGCCGTTCGCGCTGCTCATTTCCGTGACACCAGAACCTCTTCTGTCAGAACTGAAGCTTGTTCCCGTGCTACCAGAACGGGTGCTGTCAGCACCACTGCTGTGAGCAGCACCGGAGCTTGTTTCCATGACAACTGAACTGCCATTGTCAGCACTGCTGTGACCACTGAAGCTTGTTCCCGTGACACCAGAACCGCTGTTGTGAGCACCACTGCTGTGAGCAGCAATGGAGCTTGTTTCCATGACAACTGAACTGCCGCTGTCAGCACCGCTGTGACCTCTGGAGCTTAATTCCGTGTCATCTGAGCTGCCGCTGTCAGCAGTACGGTGACCTCTGGAGCTTAATTCCGTGTCATCTAAACTGCCGCTGTCAGCAGTACTGTGAGCAGTGGAGCTTGTTTCCGTTCCAACAGCAACACGACTCCCAGCATCCTCGTTCACGAGAGGAACTGCGGTCTCCCGCGTCGCCGCTGATTCGCTACCTTGAGACGCCACTGACGGAGCCTGACGGACCGTCAGTAAACCGCTCTCTAGAGTCACCATAACTGGACCGAGATTATTGCTGTCTCTCTGCATGGACCAATAAAAGTGTAGCACGCGTCCAATTGCTGTAACACCCATGAATATTAAAACCAGGAGGACGAGCCAGATGAGCGTTGCGTATATCGAAGTGACAGTAACGAATCCGGCGATGTCGCGCTTTCCCTTCGCCTTCTTGTCTTTCTTTGAACGGCGCTTGGAAGAATAACCCCCGCCGAATCCTAGGATTCTGAAGCACGATGCGAATCTCCGACCGACTGCTTGTGACGACGATTGGAGCCATGAAATTGGGAGAGTATTGGAGAGTACAGATGGTTGAGACTGAGAGGAAAGGCTATCAGCAGTGGGAGATATAAGGCAAGCGGTTTCGGCAAATTCGTCTGATGCTGTTTCTGCATGAATGGTCTCGTTCACCGGGGCATCTTTTAGAGACGTCTTTAAAGCATGACGGCTCTCATTCTCAAGGAGATTACTGGCGTGCGCTCGGTCTTCCTGAATGACGTGAGGAGATTCTAGGGCCACGTCTTCAATGCGGGAGGCTGACGGGTCCGTCATGGTTCGTCGACGGGAAATGGAATTGCAGAATCAGCTTACAGCGTAACTGACAGAACTTCGACCGAAATTAGACTTTGACCGAGTATCGACGCGTGTGAGGGGTTCACCGCATGACAGCGACCGTCGTTTCCACTGCAAGACACGATGCTTTCACATTGATCTAAGCAGCGCGAATCTGCCAATTAGAAGCATCATCCTAGGCTATGCCTGATGTGCTTGGGAGAAAGCGTCTTCTGTTTTAGTGGAAGTGGCTTGGAGATAACTCAACGCGTACTGTATCTGCTTTCACGCTTACACCAGTGTAGATCTGTCGGTGATTTTGTTGGAAGATGAAAGCCTCGAGCCAGACTAGTCCAATAGCGCGGATGTGAGATGCCGCCAAATTCGACCAATCACACGCCTCCTAGGTTGAGCCGGAAGCGGGCAGTGGGCACAACAAATCTTGCCCATATGTTCCCCTGTCAATGGGAAATTCCCGAAACACGATGCGCGGGCACCGGAAATGCAAGTTCCAAGGTGACCGACGAAAATCAGGCTCTGACCAGCACGGAAATTGGGACTGTCGCAGCGCCTGAGACCCTGAGCGATTTATTCGGGCGACGGTCAACTCAACACTGACGCTGCGCTGAATTGTGGTTCGCGAACCGCAAAACCGAGGCATTTTGACGGGAAGGTAATCCCCAGAAAGACGAAACCAAAGCCAGACCGTTTGTCCTCCACGAGTGTGTCACCCCTCATTTTCGCTCCAGCACCCTACACAAAAGCTAATAAGCCCTACCCGACCACTCTCAACGGCGATGCAACAGATTCAACCATGACCAGGCGTAACGCACGCAGCCTCCAGCTATCACAAGCGAACATGAACTCAAAAAGCAGGACAACCAGAAGAAACGAGGTAGGACCACAAAGCATCGCCATTTAGTTCTAGCAACGTAGTGACTCACACTTGTAGAGTTCCGCCTCCACGTGCGCTAGGAGTGCGACGTGCTTTCTTGTACCAGGCAGACATGGAATTGCCAGGAGGCGTTGAACCAGACCGGAAAAAGAGTCAGGCGACCAATTCGCCTGCACGACCAATTCGTACATGGAACCTCACGAGCCGTTCGCGCGCCAGCATCTTAGAAATCTCCCAATCCCTCGGTTTTAACTCAGTCGCGATTCTCTTTCTCACGGCCGTCATGGTATTTTGCATGGTCGCAGTTGGCGGCCTCTTTCCCCAGCCTCTTCAGTCCCAAAAACTTTTTTTTCCGTCTGCCGACTCTTCCGTTACCGTCCGTCCAAACTCCTTCAACGGAATCCGTCGAATGAGCATCCCTGCCATCGAGGTTATTGAGATTCGGCCCGATGCTGCAGTGGAGAGCAAAGACAGCGATTTTTCGCAGACTGAAAGTGGTAACTCGGAAACCACCGACATTTTCGGGGCGCAGAGCGATGGTGGCAATATGGACGAAGGGGCCGCAGAAGCCGTTGCAGGGGATCAAGACTCCTGGGCTGTGGCCCAGGAGGGGTCAGAAATTGCTCAAAAGCTGGAAGTATCAATTACAGCGGAAAAAGATGAAGCTTCGACGTCGGCGAATAATGAGGAGATTTCGAAAGATCAGGAAAGCGTCACTGAAAGCCCGAATTCAGGGTCTTTTGGGAATGTCGAAACTTCGTCGAACGGAGCTGGGGATGTGGAGGATGCATCAAGAGGAGGGGAGACTGTGACGAGAAATGCCGAGAGTGTGGACAATGCGGAGAACGCAGGTCATGCGGAGAGAGCGGAGATTGTGGGGCGTGCTGCAGGACTGGGCGACGTCTACGCGGTGGCAGAGGTGCGTTTGTTGACGGCTCAACGCTTTACGGGTAAAGTCTATGTGCGTTTTGAGTCGACTCAAAACACACCTGGAGAGGGCGAAGAGTTGGGCGCATGTTGCGGGACTGTGTGACGTCTCCTCCATGGCGGAGGTGGCTGAGGTGGGTGGCTGAGGTGGCTGAGGTTCAAGTAGTTGACAATGACCCCTTCGCTCTCCTACCCCGCCGTCGCATCTTCCGCATTTCCCGCCTCTCTTTCGTGGAAACTAGTCCCTGCCGCAACTGCACCCCACTGCGTACACCTCGCTTGCTCACCTTTCCCTCACTGTTTCGTTTTCGCAACCATTTTCGCGACCGTCCTTTATTCAATGCAGGGAGGAGTGATGGACCGCCTTCGAACCCTCTGTCTCGCGCCGGCCGTCGCGGCAACTCTCGCGCGTCGCCTGCAGGGAAAGCGAGATGGCGACGCGGCAGCCATGGCTGCAGGCACCGGTAGCAGCGGAAGCAGCAGCGGTAGCAACGGAACCAGAGTAACTATTATCTGGGACAATAATGCGGACAATGGCTTCAACTCTCTGTTTGCCGGGCCACCGAGGGTTGAAAGTCTGGCGGGAGTGCCGTCCGAGATGCTCGCTGACGTGGCTGTCGAGGAGACGTTGGATGAATCGCGCAAGGGGAGATTGACGGCCGAGATTGAGGTACGGGGATGTGAACGGGCGAAGCTGCAGGTTCCTTTGATGCTTACTTGACGGATTCCTGAGACGCCTTGGCCATCTTTTCCTGTATCCCTATTATCCTCTCCAGTGTCCTAATCATCCCGTCTCGTATCCAAAATACTCTGTCCCATGTCTCAATCATAATAATCCGTGTCGGCAGGTGGCTGTCTCAGAGTGCAACGAGAACGAATCGACCGAGACCAGCACTACCACTATCAGCGCCAGTAGCGAGTCTGTTCGCCTGCTGCTGTCTGCAGCGGCTGTCTCAAACGTTACCCTCTCTCGTGTTACCCTGTCCCGTGTCTCAACTACAATGTCTCGTATCCCGGCAGGCGGCTGTCTCAGAGTGCAAGGGGAACGAATCGACCGAGACCAGCACTATCAGCGCCAGTAGCGAGTCTGTTCGCCTGCTGCTGTCTGCAGCGGTTGCAGAGCTCGTTGCGGCAAGTGGCAGCGGCAACACCGACGGCCGCGTTATTCTGGTACGTTCATTACATTTTCACCAACTGTCAACGTTTTCAGGGTTTTCAGCAACCTGGGCTCTCCAGGAAACTTACTCCTTCATTCCCTCTTTGCAAATTCCCGCTCTCCCCATCCTTCCACCAGTCACCTCAGGAAATCTGCACTGTGCGACGGGTGGAAGCGGCCTGCCTGGGCGGGGTGCGGCCGTCCGCAGGCGTGGCGGCCATCATGCGCGCCCACCCCGACTCCGCCCTCTCCGCCCTCCCCCGCTCCACCGCTGTGTACCTCGAGAGGGGGGCTGCCGCTGCGCCAGGCACAGGGGGCGCAGGGATCGCAGCAGCATCAGGGGAAGACGCACGAGCAGCAGAAGGAGCTACAGTAGCAGCAGCAGGGGGAACTTGTGGGGGATGTGCGAACGATCCCGTTCTGAACTGCACCATTCGTACACTCGCCTGGCGGTACCTCCGTGCGGGCTCCACCCCTCCTCCCACTCCCTCCACCGCTTCATCCTCCCCCTCCTCCTCTCCTTCCTCCCTCACTCCCGAGACATATTTCATAGTGGCTGCATTTGAGCCCGAGAATGCTGCTGCTGTGGCTGCGAGCTTCCACCCCTCCCGTGCGCCTCTCCTCCTCCCCGTCACACAAGCCCGCCTGAAGCGCTGCTCTCGCTCCTCCTCCTCCCCAGCAGCTAGAAGACTGCTTCACGAGTCCAGTGCGTCAGATTCAGCTGCTGCCGCTGCTGCTGCTGCTGCCGCTGCTGCTGCTGCTGCTGCAGCTGGTGCTGCAGCTGGTGCTGCTGTTAGTGATGGTGCTGCCTCCGATGCTGCTGGTGATGCCACTGGTGCTGGTACTGCTCCTGGTCTGGATGTGACAGTGCGGGAGGGTGACAACATCGAGTGGAGCTGCACGCAGCTGCAGGTGGCGGAGGCGTGGGTGGTGTCGGCAGCAGCGGCGCTCATCCACACCCGCGCGTCTCTCGAGGCCCGATTCCTCCTCGCCCAGGCCAGCGCCGGCACTGCTAGGCGGATCCTCTCAGGGGCTACGGGGGGAGGAGAAGGAACAGGGGTGGAAGAGGGAGCAGAGGGAGCAGACGCTGAGGTTCGTGACAGCAGCAGTGGCAGCAGCAGCGGCAGCAGCAGCAGCAGTGGAGCTTCGTTTGTTGTGGAGCCAAGTGTGTGTGAGGCGCCGCCTGCCGTATCGTTCAAGGGCACAGCAGAGCGGTTTCTGCGGCAGTTCATTGTGGATGGTACGTTGTGTGCCTGCCTGCCTGCTTGCCTGCCTGCCTGCCTGCCTGCCTGCCTGCCTGCCTGCCTGCCTGCCTGCTTGTTAAGTAAACAGGCGCCTGCTGCTGTGTCGTTCAAAGGCACAGCGGAGAGGTTTCTGCGCCAGTTCATTGTGGATGGTACGTTGCCCGCCTGCCTGCTTCATTGTTTGCCTGCACGACTGCCTGCCCACCTGCTGGTCTGCCTGCCTACCTGCCTACCTTCCTGCTTGTCTACTGAATTAGTCTCCCATATACCTCCCTCCTCTTTCCATCTACAGAGAAGCTCAAGACCATCTACTGCTTTGTGCCTAAGGTCGCCTGTACGAGCTGGAAAACCTGGTTCCGGCAGCAGCAGCAGGGGCAGGGGCAGAAAAACATTTCCGACGTGTACCTCACGCACGACCACTACAAGAGCGGCTTACGCATTCTCGCATACCACTATAACGAGTACGAGGTGATCCGACTGCTGACCCGCCCAGATTTCTTCAAATTCTCGTTTATTCGGAATCCGTACGCGCGGCTAGCCTCGGTGTATTTCAACAAGCATGTGAACGGAGGCCCGCCGTTCGGGCGGCAGTTTTGGAACAAGATGTTTTTCCGGGGTATTACCCCGTACAGGAAGCTGGTAGAGGAGCAAGGGGGCAAGGACCTGTTTGGGTTCAGCGACTTTGCGTATCTGCTGAGGAGTGTGGAGGAGAGGTTAAGGAGCTATATGGAGTCACACGTGCAGCCTCAGGTGAGAGAGGGAGAACATGGGGATGCGATGGGAGGGATGGGGGTCATGACTAGGCTGCCTGGGTGGAGGAGCAAGGGGGGAAGGACCTGTTTGGGTTCAGCGACTTTGCGTATCTGCTGAGGAATGTGGAGGAGAGGATGAGAAGCTTTATGGAGTCACACGTGCAGCCTCAGGTGAGAGATAGCAGTGGGGATGAGAATGGGGGGGAGGAGAGAGAGGGTTTCTTGTTTGGCTTATGAGTGTAGCTGGGTGGAAAAGGGTGAGTGGAGTTGCAGTTGAGAGGATGCTCGTTATATCTCTTAACATTAGTATCTGATCATCCAACTCTCTTCCCTGCACCATTTGCATTTGACTCCCCCCATCCACAGATGGATGTTTGCCGGTTTGATGCCATCAAATTCGACTTCATTGGTCGGTTTGAGAGCCTTGATGCTGACGTGGCAGAGGTTCTGCATCGGCTGAATAAGACGGACGCCTCGGGTGCATTTTCCATTGGGCTGAATGCGCATAGGACAAATGCAGAGGACAAACTGACATCTTTATACGACGAGGTATGTCTCTTGCTGAAATGAGTCTGTTCTCGCCCTCTTTCAGAGTGATTGCTTACTCTGGCTTTCATGGTTACATCTCTTCTGCCTTCGATGTTTACCTGTTATTTTATCGCACTTTGTTTATTGCTGGTCTGCCTGTTGATTGCAGAGAGCCTTTACTGAGGCTTCACACTTGTACGCCTCAGATTTCAACATCCCATTGAATAACATTTCTTACGATGCACCAGAAGGGCTTGCTAGGAAGTTCAGGATGACAACTGCAGTCACCCAATAGACGAAATTGGCTAGAAACAATCAATATTATACGTAACATAGAGTTAGGTTTGAATGATTTGGATGCATTGGATGCATGAAGTTAATTGCTATTATTGTGCAGAATTCACTCTCCAGCTTACCAGGGGCATTGAAGCAAGGCCCTACGATGCATTGGGATGCAGCAGAGACACAACAGTGCCTCTCTCCCTCAACACCCCCTCTGCTGTGCTCCTTCCACTCTCGCTGCCACCACTGCTGGCTGTGCTGCTGTCCCTGGCGCCAGGAGCACTGGTGGCGCAAGGTGGCAGTGAGACCTGGGAAGATGGGAGGGCGTGGAGGGGAGAGGGATGAGGGAGGATAAGTGGAGGGAGGGATAGAGGGGAGCACTGGCACAGGCAGCACTGGTGGCGCAAGGTGGCAGTGAGACCTGGGAAGATGGGAGGGCGTGGAGGGGAGAGGGATGAGGGAGGATAAGTGGAGGGAGGGATAGAGGGGAGCACTGGCACTGGCAGCACTGGTGGCGCAAGGTGGCAGTGAGACCTGGGAAGATGGGAGGGCGTGGAGGGTCGACGGATGAGGAAGAATAAGTGGGGAAGGCAAAAGCGGGATTATTTGAGGGAGGCAAGAGGGGGAGCAAGTGAGGGAGGCATGAGCGGGAGCAAGTGAGGGAGGCATGAGGGAGAGCAATCAAGGGAGGAAATAAGAGAGCAAGTGACAGAGCCACGAAGGGGAGTAAGTGAGTGAATGCATGTACGGCCAGTCACCTGCTCTACCCATCGCCCTTCGGCTGTCGTCGCACATTGAGCCAGATAAGTGGACTCGTGCACTTAACACAGCAGTAGAATCTGCACGTGCAAGCAAGGAGCTTTGCTGCACAAGGCACCCCACATCACATGCACCGCAAACCACCGGCTCTACCCGTGGCCCCTCAACCCTTGCCTCACATTGAGCCATCGCAGGGACGCATGAGGTGGCTCGGCGGGCATGTCTGCCTGTACTGCCACGTCTGGCCAGCTACCCATCAGCCTCAGCTCCAACGCTGCTCCCCTCCCTCAGCCGAGTCACCTGTTAAACCCGCGGCCCTGGACCCCTGTACTCACATTGAGCCATCTGAGGGATGCGAGAGGCAGGTCAGAGGGCATGTCTGCCTGCACCGCCACGTCCGGCCAGCTATCCATTAGCCTCGGCAGCAGCGCTGCTTCTGAGCCTGCTCCTGCTTCCGCTGCTCCTGCTCCTCCTCCTGCTGCCCCTCCTGCTGCTGCTCCTGCTGTCCCTGCTTCACCTGCTGCCGAGCCTACAGCAGTTCCTGCAGCAACAGGTCCAGATCCTGCCAGCATCACTCTTCTCATTCGGAGGCCCGGCAATGAGAGCGTCAAACGGCGCATGGGGAATCAAGTCACCTGCACTGCCGCTACCGCTGCTGCTGCTACTTTCAGAGTTGCTGCTGCTGCTCCCTCTGCTTTCTCCACCAATAATCGGTGGAGTACGTGTCTTCCGCCACACTATAGTGACCAGACCTCTATCCCCAACGCTAACAGAATCATCATATAAGTCAGCAGACTTGACGGAGCTGACGGAGCTTCCACTGTCTTTGGAGGATTCCGTCAACCCTGCTGACTGAAACCTCCTGGCCAATACGGTGGCGACAGCTGGCGCCAGACAGAGCGTTTGAAATTGTGACATGGTCCCACCCTGCAATGTAGCATCGTGTGCGAGAATCACAGGATTATTGTTTTATGTATCAGATGGTATCATATAATCAGAAAGTGGTCTAAGAAGGGGTACCAGGTCGCTTTTCAGAATTCTCCAAAAGAAAAAACAGACGAACAACGGACGAGACAAAAAATAAAGAAAGGTAAAAACAGCTTAGTCAACATGGCACAAACCTCGACCAGAGCAACGACTCGTGATAAAAGCTGGGTTGCTAGACGTCTCAACACCCAAAAATAAAAGAAAGGTAAAAACAGTTGAGTCAACATGGCCACAAACCTCGGCCAGAGCAACGACTATTAATGATGGCCTGAGTGGTCCTCCGTTCGCACTGAAGCTTGTTCCCGTGCTACCAGAACTGCTGCTATCAGCATCACTGCTGTGAGTAGCGGAGCTTGTTTCCATGACAATTGAACTGCCATTGTCAGCACTGCTGTGACCACTGAAGCTTGTTCCCGTGACACCAGAACCACTGTTGTGAGCACCACTGCTGTGAGCAGCAATGGAGCTTGTTTCCATGGCAACTGAGCTGCCGTTGTCAGCACTATTGTGATCTCTCAAGCTTTATTCCGTGCCATCTGTGTTGGGCCGAGAAGAAGCCCTTAGGATCTTTGCAGGACTAAATTCCTGGTAGGACTGATGTAATAGCGGAAGCGTTCAATGAGGAGTTTGTGAACCACCTTGCGCTGGTATGTGAGGGCAAAGTAGATTGATTAAAACAAAGAGATACAAGCCTTTTATAAGAGTACAAGGGAATATGAAGGGTTATAACTAATAACTGTTTTGCTGTTGCTGTTGCGGTTCGATACAGTGACGACTCGGGCAACTGCTCAATAGCGAGTCAGTTGTTTGTCCTTGCTGTCGCGCTGTACTTGTCAGGTCAAAGGTCGCTGACCTTTGACTTTCGCGTAACCTCCAGCAGTTGCTCAACCTCCGAGGGTTGACTCGCTGATGCTTCGATATGTTTCGCTTCGCTTCTGACTTGGTGTTTCGACACGACAGAGGCGCTTAAGTTACTTGTTTCCAACACTCCCCTTCGCTTCTGGAGTGTCGCTGCTGGTGACGTGGCTCTGTCCAGTCACCAGCATGCAGTACTCGAACTTCTGCTTTCCGAGCTTCTTGGTCAAGTAATCAGCTGCCGTCTCGGTCGTGGGGCAGTAGGATAATTCGAGTCTCCCCTTCTCGATCTCGTCTTTCACGAAGAAATATCGTAGGGCGATATGCTTCGTCCTGTTCGCGAATCCGTTTTTGTTGGCTATGCGAATTGCTGACTGGTTGTCGCAGAACAGAGTGAAGCTGGGTAACTGAGCCAGCTTTGCTTCCTCCAAGAGTTCGCGAAGGTACAATCCTTCCTTGGTGGCTGAGCAGAGTGCGATATATTATGCTTCAGCTGAGGAGAGAGCGATTAATTCCTGCTTACTCGACTGCCACGAGATAGGTGTTGAAAATAGTGGCATAAGTAGAAGTTAGGTTTAGGGCCTAGGCTTGGTAGCCTAGGCCAAGGGAGAAAGTTGTGCCAAGAGAGAAAGTCGAGAATGGGAATCGTGTTCACTATAGCACTAGGGTACATATAGCAAACAGAGCATGCAAAGAAGGTGCACCACCAACAGTTTATAATAACTACACTAAACTACAGCTACAGGCAGTTACAGATATATTCTAACACTCCCCCATAACTGCCTCCAGCAGGAGTTTGTGCAGAACACAACCTGCAGGGGTACACCAGCAACAACAACAGCAGGCACGGTAACAGAGCAGGTACAGCAGTAAAGGGACAGGCGACAGCAAGACATTCCTGCCACCCCCTTACTCTCTTCCCCCCCCGACCACAGGAGGGACAGCAGGGAGAGAGAGGAGGCGGGCTGGCTCTGGCTGGTCACCCCCTCCATCCCCTCACCCTCCCCCTCCCCCTCCCCCCCACACTGCTGCAGGAGCAGCAGAGGGGGGAAGAGAGGAGAGGTGGAGGGACGGCTGCTGGTTGGTCTCACACCCGCCACCCCAGTGCCACTCCCCCGGCTCCCCCACACCCTCACACCCTCCCCCCCAGCGGCAGCTGCAGCAGTGGGAATGAAAGGAGGAGGAGGGGAAGGGAAGCACACCACCCATCACCCCCACACCCGCCACCCCCATACCCTCCCCCCCACGGCTGCAGGGAGACGAAGGAGGAGGGGGTGGGCGGGGAGAAAGCCGCAGAGCGGCTACAGAGGGTCGGCGCGGGTAGGTCAGGGGCAGCTGCAGCGAGTGCAGGCGCATGGTGAGGCAGAGGCGGCTGCACCGAGTGCAGGAGCGGGGGCGGCTGCTCCAAGGGCAGGCGCTGGGTGGTGCAGGGGCGGCTGCACCGAGTGCAGGCGCGGGTGAGGCAGGGGCACCGCCGCGGGCGCCAGGGGCGGGTCCGCGGCGGCTCAGGACACCGCCGCCGGCGCCAGGGGCGGTTCCGCGGCGGCTCAGGGCACCGTCGCGGGCGCCAGGGGCGGGTCCGCGGCGGCTCAGGTCACCGTCGCGGGCGCCAGGGGCGGGTCCGCGGCGGCTCAGGGCACCGTCGCGGGCGCCAGGGGCGGTTCCGCGGCGGCTCAGGGCACCGTTGCGGGCGCCAGAGGCGGATCCGCGGCGGCTCAGGGCACCGATGCGGGCGCCAGTGGCGGATCCGCGGCGGCTCAGGGCACCGTCGCGCACCACGGGGCACGCAACGGGCAGTTCAGGGCACCGTCGCGTGCCACGGGGCGCACGACGGGCAGGTAAAACGTCACGCGCCACCCGGGCGCGGGACAGAAGGAAATTCGCCACGCGCCTGCGGCGCGCGACCGGAAAAACAGCAGCGGAAGCTTGAGGCAGGCCCACAGGCCAGTACGTAACAGGCTCTAATGCCATGTTGAGAATAGTGGCATAAGTAGAAGTTAGGTTTAGGGCCTAGGCTTGGTAGCCTAGGCCAAGGGGGAGTCGAGAAAGTTGTGCCAAGAGAGAAAGTCGAGAATGGGAATCGTGTTCACTATAGCACTACGGTACATATAGCAAACAGAGCATGCAAAGAAGGTGCACCACCAACAGTTTATAATAACTACACTAAACTACAGCTACAGGCAGTTACAGATATATTCTAACAATAGGTCCGATAGGCTCGAGGCGGTAGATGTAGCCTGCGTGCGAGCGCCGGTTGTCAGAATCTCCGGCGTGGTCGGCGTCGACGTAGCCGAATAACTTAGGCGTTGTAGTTCCGTTCTTGTAGTAGTTCAAGCCGATCGTTGGAGTGCTAACGAGGTAGTGAAGAGCGCGGTCAAGCTCCGCCATGTGTTCAGCATCATGCCTTTTAAGGTAGGTGGCGAGTTGACTTGCAGAGTATGATAGGACCGGGCGGCAGGTGACAGCCGCGAAGAGAAGGCATCCCAGCTTCCTCTGGTAGTTGCGTATCCCGGCAGGCTTGAGTGGAGTGGAGCCTTCCTTGTAATTTCCTGCCGTGTAGCGATATGGCGTGGAGATGGTAGTTGGTGTGAGTGCGAAGCGTTTGGCGATGGTGTCGGCGTATTTCGCGGCGTTGAGGTAGATCGCGTTATCTTCTTCCTGAATGTTGAGGCCGAGGTACTGGGTGACGGTAGATGTGACTGTGAGC